TAATCACTTTTTGTTATATTTTCCAAATTTATCTCAGCCAGGCCATTTAAACGCTAAATTAGTTTGATTTATTTTTTTGAGATATAGATTAAACTAAGCATCCGAAACGAGTTAATTAACAAAAATATTTTTTATATCGTAAAATAGGAAAAAACAACAATTTTTTTTAAAGTGCTTTATTTTTTAGTATTCTGTCATTCGGTGAGTATTCCAAGGTTGATAAAATATGACGTAAAGCTACTCTGAAATTTAATTTGGTACATTCCGGATTAACATTAGTACATTCCAAAATACAGTATGTGGTATTATAGAAAGCCATTTTAGAACTACTAAGATAAGCATATGTATATCATTTATTGGTACTAAGATAAGCATTTGTATATCATTTATTGGTCCATTTTGTAGAGATTATTTTAGAAATTGTTTAGAGCATTTTGTCATCTATATTAATATTAGTGAAAATGAGTATATGTAATTAATTTGTTAGAATATGTTTGTAGTAGAGAAAAATGAAATCGAATAAATTGACTTATGCATTATATATATCCATGAGCGACTCAACCATTTTAAGGGTTCTAAGTCAGCTAAAAATTTGGGGTTTTTTGGCCTTTACTAGACTCGAAAATAAAAACAAATGAGATGAATATGTCGCAGAGAATGCTATCTCGTTTCAGTTTCATAAATGCAACGATAGTTGATTTATTTTTCCGCTTCATTTATTTTATGGTAACCGGATTGAATTTTTTAATAGACTAAATTTTTGGATTTTGGAAAATATAGGGCCCCTTAGAATTGGGGGCCCTAAGCCCTAGCTTAAAAAACCTCTACATAGAGTCGACCCTGTATATAGTTGTAAATTACACATATTAACTATGGTGTAGATTTAACCACCCATGTAAATTATATTTGATTGGTTAAATTGATGGTTTCGAAAGTTACATATTAATTAGACATGTCTTTTAATTAGTGTTCTGGATCAAGCATAGTTATACAAATAATTGATTGATAAAATGTCAACTCTTGTTACTATTGTGACCGGTATGCTTTCTAACACAGTACATATGTAATTACTCATGTTGTCTAAGTGGTTTTAATCGATTTGCATAACAAAATCATTCTAGCAGTAATGATCGTCTTGTGTCGGAAGTAACAACATATGTAATTTATTACCTATGACACTAACTCATATATACCTGAGGAATACATAATAAGTTCCTTACTATGGGGTTGTATGTGAGGGTGATATTAGGTAAAAAAGTAATGTTGTAGCTTATAATTATGGATGTAAATAGGCACAAATATGGGTGGAGACTACAATTCCAACCCTAACACCCGAACTCTGATCCCCACATCCATACTCGTTGCGCCCCATGTAACTCGTGACAGGTTCAGGTAAAATAAATCCATGTCGGTTACGGGTAACATGATGGATATCCGTATGAAAAAAAAAATTAAAATATAAAAAAACATAATAATAATAATAATAATAATAATAACAACAACAACAACAACAACAACAACAACAATAATTAAAATTTTAACAGTTCGTAATTCATTCTCATTAACGAAATAGTAAAAAAGATAATCACGACATTCTGATGTTTTTTTTAAAACTAAAATAACAACAAACCTTGATAAACTAAGTATCATGATCCAAAACGTTTGGACACGCTTCATCATCTTTTATAACTTTAAATTTCGTAAAATGTTTTTCTCTGTTTGATTGTGCAACCTAGCAATAAAAAATTAAAATATAAGTACTTTATTAAATATTTTCTGTTAAAGAAAATAAAATAATATATAAAGCTTTAAAGTATAGAAAACCATACCTAACTTCTCATCTTATAGGCAATCTTGTACACAAGTTAAAGATTCCAATGTATGTGGATGAAGCCTATTATGATGAGTGATGTGTATTCCACTAGTACTAAAGGATGATTCAGAAGCAAATGTAGAAACTAGTAGAGTCAAAACATCTCCAACATCTTATTGCAAAGTAAGACATTCAAGATCATTAGCCTTCCATCGTGCTAAAATATCAAAATCTTGGGTTCTTGGCAGTGAACTTTGGATCAATAGATAGAAACATCAAATTTTAATCTAAGAATCCGAAAGACCAAATCAACACCCAAATAATCGATTTCAGTCAAGGATTACCAAACATTGGAATAGATTACAACCAAAAAATTTATTACAATCTACATCTTTATATAATAGAGTCTTTACTACAATTTATATCAATGTGTGTAGCCTACATATTTTAATAATAGTCTTGAGTCTTGATTCTTAACGTTAAAAAAAGAGTGAATGCTTGAAGTGAAGACCGAAGAGTTGATTACTTGAATAATGGAGGATTCGTCTCGTCTCTCATCTGGGAATTGATATATATATATATATATATATATATATATATATATATAGAGAGAGAGAGAGAGAGAGAATAGAAGAGTGATAGATAGAGAGATAATGAGAAAAGATGGAGATCTAGAGAGAATGGGAAAGAGATAAAGAAAAGAAAAGATTGAGTAGAAAGAGTGGAGATAGGAAAAGAATGAGTAGAGAGAGTAAGGCCGTGTTTGCTATTGGGCTGACCGAGTTGGCTCAGACCTTTTTTGCTGACTCGGTCAGCAAAACGTGTTTGATAAACAAATTTCATCCATCTAACTCGGAAAGATGCATCTGACCCGAAAAGGAAATAAAATTCTGCTGACTGGGGAAATGAAGAATAAAATCCCATGCATACCCTTCCCCCTAACGAGCCTCCTTTTCAACTCCTTTCTTCTTTGGCAACACCAGCAAGCACCAATCAAGCACCGATCGAAGGTTTCTCATCAGCTAATATTTTCGATTTCTCTTTCCTCGTCTAATAATACTTTCGATTTTAGCCATTGTCAACCAACAACATCGATTTTTTGCAATAGTTGCTGTTTTGATATTTGGTGATTTCGATTTTGGCTTCCTCGTTTCTACCTCATTTCGATTGTAGGTTGACTATTGTTCTTGAAGTTTTGTTCCTTAGAAATTGATATGAATTCGTTTTTGAAATTGATTCATGAGTTCGTTCTTTAGAATCTGCTTTTGAAATTGATTCATGAATTCATTTTTGAAATTGCATTTTTATTGATCTCCTGGTTAATATGAAATAGTAATATACGTTCATTATTTTCTTCTATCTAGTCTGGTTCTGATTCCTTTATGAAAGTAGAGATTGATGATCCTGCAATTGAAGCTATACATTTTTTAATAGTATATGAAGAGAGAACTAGGGAGTGGCTGGCAAGTTTAGATAAATTATGATATACTACTTATTTATTTAATCAACTAATATATTATTATATACATATTGCAGAAACCACATGTGAATTTGTTACCAAAAGGTTCCACTTCTTTAGAAAAGGTTGCTGTAACAAAGTTGTCAACAATCTCTAATCCCATTAACAAGGTTTGCCAAGAAGAAAATTTGTCTGATTTTATTTTAGATAGCTTTGGGTTAAAAATTAAAATGAATGTTCTATTTATTATTTATGTTTTGATTACTATCCAACAGATACATACATTAGGATTAGAAATTGAAGTAGGTATATTTGTGTGTCTACCATTTGTTCTTCTTCTTTCTACAGCCAATGACTTTTTGGATAATGAATCTATTTATAACTTAACAATGATTCCTTTTATAGTTTTCTCCTTGCCTTTGATTGATTCTTTGATTGTTGGTAACTTGAAGAAACAAAAATAAAAATAAACCAGGTATGTTCCACCTTCAGAGACCAATCTTTAAGGTTGATATGAATTATTGCACAACAAGTGTTCGTCAAAATGCCTCAATGAAATTTCTCATATTTTCTTGCCTTGTTGAAGTTTATTTCATATTAATTTAAAAGCTTTTTATCCATGGAAAAGTTTTATGTACAACCCATGCTTTTAATTGTTTGTAAAATCATTAATAGAATTTAATTATTTAATTATTTATAGTTTTTAGCTTATTATAGTTTATTAAAACAATAATTTAGATAAATATCATATTTTAAAAGTTTATGAAGAATACTATATAATATTAACTTAAAATTATAATAGGGGTATAACGGTAAATTAATAAAAACAAATATTTAAAATGATTGTATATAGTAGCAGGGTAAAATAGTCATTTTGCATCGGTCAGCATATTCAGTCAGATTCAATCAAATGTACAATCAAACAACATGGTTTCTTCCTCAGTCAAAATTTATTGCCCAAACAGATCTTTCTCAGTCAGCACTTTCTCGGTCAGTAATTATCAAACGAGGCCTAAGGGAATTGTTGTGAGATAGAGAAAAAAAGGAAAAAAAAAGAAAAGAAAGAAAGAGGAACGAAAGAAAAAGATAAAGAGAAATGTTCAATGACTTATAGTCCCCCGGATTCGAGATATCAAAGCTGAAAATTTTCCGGTTCTAGACCCACTTTACTTCGTTCCATCCGACCCACTTTGACGTTTCCGGGTTTTCCAGTTCTCAACCCACTTTTCCTGCTAACCTACTCGGAACCGAACCAGAATTTGTTCCTATATACCGGCCCGGTTTCTGATTTACAAAATTTCACTAACCGGTTTCCTGGTTTTCTAGGTTCGGGTCCATCCATGTTGGTTTTGGACCCACTTTCGTCCCTACTTTCCTGAGTGAGTTTAACAGGGATTTATAAGGCATACATGAGATTGACCAAATCGAAAACAAAATGACAGCACAAGGCTAAAGCAGAGTAATAACATAATTTTCTTTAACCATATTTTTGATTCTAAATAAAAATAAAGGGTTGGGAATTCATTGTTTACTAAAACAATTTATATATGACTTGTAGATATCACGTTTAATCACCTATTATGTACACAAAGATTGATATAGGTCAAAAGGAATTTCTCAATAAAAGGGTAAAATGGGAAGCTGGCATCTAACAAAACTTGCAATGCGAGTCAAACAATCTGTAATGGGTAAATGAGTATTCCATGGTCATTGCTCCATCTCGTAGCT